ATATAAACATATATATATATATATCATATTCAGGAGATATACATATATATATATATATGGTAAACATTTTTAGTTATTTTTCCTTCAGAAAGAAGATTGCAGAGGCAAATACAACTTGCCATAAGTGGATGATCATAGCGAATACAATCTTTTTCTTTTATCCTAGACCAAAGCTGATTACTTTGTATCTTAAATACTAAAAACTTTAAGAAGCTCTTTAAACCGGAGTCTGAATGATCAAAATATGAATTTAGAGTAATAGTTTGTTAACTAGATAACAGTCTAGTTTTTCACTATCAAAATAGCCGTGAAATAAGATTACTTGATATTTTTTGCTTAACGAGAAGGCAATTGTCCATGAGCTATGTTTACTGAATTTTAAGTGATTGATGAAATGGGATCACTGCACATTTCTTCAGTAAGATTTTTGTTTGTTCCAACAACAGATAATATTAAATTGGCAGTGGCAATAGAGTATGAAAGTGCTTTATTTTAACAAAACAGTGACACACCAATGGCCGCAGATAGCAGAAGGATGTCTTTATGCAGTAATGATTCTCTGCTACCGTTTCTTGATATAAAAAAATGATTATCAGTCCTCATGATGCGCCTAACCACAAGATGAGAGGCAGAGTGGCCTTCCCTAAGCATCATTTGTCTACTTGCTGACTGTCAAGCTGGGTCTTTTGTGAAAAGGCCAATCCATAAAAGAGAGAAAATGAAAAAACAAAAGGAGACGGAGGCCTTCCCACATGCAGCTGAGCCTTTGGGGAAGAGGTTTATATCTCTGGGTTTTCTGAATGGGAACCCAGAGGACTGGGCTGGATCTTTGTTTCTCAAGCGTAGTACATGAATCAGTGGTGGCAGGCATCATCTCTTCGGGGCAAGCATGTAAGAAACATCAGATTTTATATGTCTTAAATGTTTATACCTTTTTTCAATGTTTTCATAAAAAATCCACAATTTCATATATTCAATTGCTTACAAGTTATGTTGAGTTCATTTAAAATTGACTTTAAAAAAAAATCAAGTAAGAGTCCAGGTCGTGCGGAGACGCAGCACAAGTGGCTGAACTCTGGAGGCAGAATTAGATGATCCTGGGGGTTGCAACCAACATGATCGTTCTAGTTCTCAGCGACAAGAGGGAAGAAATTTTCATAAACCTTAATGAGAGGCTCGATTTCTGTTGCACAGAGAGCACTTTGCTAGGATTTTGCTTCCCCCATGAACTTCTCTAGCATGCTATACAGTATGAGCAGATCACAAGCTGAATCACTGGATGCTTTCAAGGATGTTTTAGTTCCCTGGGTTATGAGTGTGTGTGTTTTAATTTTTTTTTTCCTGTTTTTTAACATTTTAAATGTTGAAAGAACCCTGCTGGGAGGATTCCTGGACTAAGAGGGAGACTTACAGACCCCGTGGGACCAGCTCACCTTACCGATGGGGAGACTGCAAGAGGGGGACCCTGGGCGACTTGTTCTAGGTCCTATCATTAGTCCAGGATCCATCTCACCCCTGTGCCTTTCTCTCAGAAATGACTATACTGTGCCGCTCCCCTCCCCTAGCGAATGTTTCCTCTTTCTAGACTGGATCACAGGATGAATTCATGTCTTCTTTTGCAGAGGGGCCACAAGATTTTATTTTTACAATTCTTTTTTATTATAGAAGTAGTACATATTTATGAAGGAAATTTGGAAAATGTAGATAGGCATAAAAAGAGAAGGCTTTCACGTCAGCATGAGAGCAATCAGCATCTTATCAATCATTTTTCTTCTCCATTTTTATTAAGAAATCAGGATCAGGCCAGGGAGATGGCTCAGTAGAGTAAGTGCTTCCCTGGCAAGCGCAAGGGTCTGAATTCAATCCCCAGTTCTGCCAAAAAAATAAAAAAAAAGAAAAAAGAAAGAAAGAAAAAAGAAAGAAAGAAAGAAAGAAAGAAGAAAGAAAGAAAGAAAGAAAGAAAGAAAGAAAGAAAGAAAGAAAGAAAGAAAGGAAGAAAGAAAAAGAAATCAGGATCATACTATTTTGAACTTGCTATCTTGGTGTCTTGCGTTTACATTCATTGTAGTGCTTCCTCTCAGATTCTCCCTCCTGTGGTCCGGTGCTGAGAGCAAGGTAATTGATACAAAGAAAGCTGCTTCTCTTCCCTCTATTTTCAGCTCTTACTATCTAGGGTCACAGCGGAGTGGGACCTCTGTTTGCTGAGGTACAGCAGCCCCATTCTGTGTGGCCTTCCCGTTCCTCTGCCCCATAATATTACTTCTTTTAGATATAAAGGAAAAACTGAGTTTAAAATTTTTTTTTAATGTTGTTTAAAAGCCTCTGGGCCTACTCTAAACCATATGAACATTTTCTTTATTATCTTCTGTCTCGTTAGGGTTTTAAAAAGTAGATTTTGTTTAAAGCCAATTAAAGGGAGACATTTTTTTCAGACTTCTATGATTTTGTAATTTAATGTTAATAGGACATTATATATGCATAAGCAATGAATTAAACCATCAATAAAAGAATTTTACTCTGGGGTATTCTGGTAGTATCTGGGACATTATGAATTTGTTTCTGCTCATTTCTTGATATTTGTTGTGAAGAACTTAACGAGAGGCTGCGCGTCAAGGGAAATGTTTAATCCTGTAGCTGCAGCAAATCCATATACACAGAAAGTACACATCTGTATTTCAAAAGAGAAGTCAGAGGCTAAGAAAATCTGGACAAGCCTATGTTCTTATGTTGCTCCTTTGTTCCTCTTCCTCCTTAAACAACTGAGGGAATGACTGCTGAGTTGCCTGTGCCCGTTTCCCTACCGAGAGGAGTGTAGAAGGGGAACTGAGATTTCCCAGCGAGCGTGCAGTTGCCCCTCACAGCACTGATACCATTTGTCTGTCTGGACCAAAGTCCTCCTGGAAGAAGGAGGGTAGATCGCACCAAGGACGCCGGAAGTCTGTGCTATGTTTCTATG